GTGGGCTGGGAGCGGGGGTGGCGGGGTTGGGGCAGGGGCGGGGGTGTTTTGGGCGGGGGTCCGGGGGTGAACCCCCTACCCCTTGGGCCCCGGGGATCCCCGCGTGAGTGGTGGGGCGCCCAGCGCGCCATTCTCAATGGGATTCGAACTTGGACATGTACCTTTGCAGGTCGTGGTAGCCCAATGGGCGCCACGGAGGACGCCCTGCCAAACAGTCAAGGCTGGGAAAAAAAAGGAAGGGTGTGGCCATTTACCTTAAACATGTCCACATTCAGGCATTCCATCCGACCCTCTTTGCTAATGGGACCTCGGCCCTGGGCAGACCTTGTGAAAATGCGTTGTGGGATCCAAGTCCAAGAAAACAAAAAACAAGAAAAAGATTTTTTGTTGAAAATGCGTTGTGGGATCCAAGCCTAACCCCCTCCCCCCCCGGGTGAGGTCCCACTAGCAAAGAGGGTTGGATAACTACCCTGATTCTGGACGTGTTTTAAGCAGAGATGCGGAAAAGCAGTTCAATCTCGACATTCTGCATCTTCCCACAAAAAAGTCCAGATTCAAGTGTTCAATCCAATCCTCTTTGCTAGTGGGACCTCGTCCCGGAAATACTTGGTCGAAGTACAATGGGCTCAGACTGTACTCGGCCTTTAGGTGTGCCGATGCCTATGTCAGAATGCAGTTGTTCCTAGCACCAGGCCGTACCGGAGCCCCCCTTTCCGGGCTGATTTTCGGGCTTGTGGGACGCTTGCATCTGCACTCGGGCTCTAGGCGTGCCGATGCCTATATGTCAGAATGCAGTAGTTCCTGGCCATCGTCGGTGGATGGGGGGCTAAAAGCGGGAAACGCAGGTCTGAATCAGAAATCCTTCCCCCCCCGTACGTTTGTTCCCGAAAGGAGCGGCGAGCTGGGCGCAGAATGCGCGGGGCTTCGGCCCGAGCGCAGCGGGCGGTTTGGAGGCACTTTGCCGAAATTGAAATTGAAATTGAAAATAAGCCGTACGAAAACGCGGTAGAGAGTTCGAAAAGTCGCCACGTGGGCGACACGTCAGCAACTCAGGTTTCCGCTTTTTCGGTCCGGCGGGTGATGAACAGAGCAGAGGACGTAGACCGTGGCTCGCCTTGTGTTTTTTTTATTTTTTTTAATTTCCGCTCCAGGTACGCCTATTCCAGGCGTCGCTCTCACTGGGGCTTTCGTGGACGTATTTGAACGCGAGGACGACCACGTTCGGATGGAACAGAGCTCGTCTGAAGACGCTGAGTGATCTCGCGGTCGTTTTCCGCTCCAATCTCGAACATCTGCTCGCAACCTGGCGCCACCGTAGGGCATCGCCACACCACTCTCGAAATTTGCAAAATGAGAACGAACTTCGCGCTAGAACACGGCCACATGCGCCCGCCACTTTTTTATCTTTTTGACATTTCGAGAGCGGTGTGGCGAGGCCCTAAGCCTAAGCGTACGAGAGCGAACGTGGCTTGTTTGTTTGATCAGAAAAAAGGCGGGAGCCGAGCGCCCTGACTTTGGGTCGAAAAGTGAGTCCGATTGCCTTCTTCGATGGGAAGTCGAAGTCAACTACGCACGGCTTCTCTGCCCCCGTAGTAGTAGCCTACCTATGGTCGACATTCCAACGTTTTCTTGCCTGTAGTGTAGTAATCCATAGCCCAAGGAAAAGAGAAGAAGCTGCCGGAAGATGTGCATCGGGCACGCGGGAAGATGTGCATCGGGACCGGGACGAGCCGGTGTCTCCCCGGGAAACGAAACAGGGGGATTGGACAACGGGGTGAATGTGCAGGAGCTATGGAAATCGGAGGGAGTGACTGTTGAAAGCGGTCCGCCGAATGGAAGGGGTATAAATCTGCTGCTGTTCACGGAGGGGCGCACAGGTCAGAACTTCGCAGGATAGGCCTACTGTACTCGTAGAGGAATGCTGCGACGGGCTTCATCTGTGGTAGGTGGGATGTTGCCTGGTGCGAGTGTGTGCGGGTAGTTCTGAAGCAGCGAATGTCGTTCTCTCCCTGTGTACAGTACACCCCTAACCTCTCTTTCTCTATCTCACGAACTCGCACACGTGCTCTCTCTCTCTCTCTCTCTCACACACACACACATACACACACACACACACACACACACACACGCACACACACACACAGACACACACACACACAGAGAGAGAGAGAGAGAGAGAGAGAGAGAGAGAGAGAGANACAGAGAGAGAGAGAGAGAGAGAGAGAGAGAGAGAGAGAGAGAGAGAGAGAGAGAGACTCTGTTATTTGTCGACTGTAGTCTAGCCGTGTACGCGCCAACGTCTGCTCCTGAAGGGTGACACGCGGCCTGAGTATACGCGTGCTGCCAGGTTTGATTACGACGTCTAAGCAGATGCGGAGTCCGGTTGAAGTAGATGAGCGACTTATGGCGTACTCACACGAGGACTATTTTAAATGTATCTGACCGCATTTACGGCCGGGCCTGGACGGATTTGACTGCAATTACGTTCAGAAATAGGTGAATATACCCTTAGACTAATGCTGCGAAATCCCCTCTCCGCACTCGGTAGTCTCAATTCAAAATGATAGATAGGCCTGTAGCCGTTGATCGACTTTTCTTGAATCGATTGCTTTGATTGACTAGTAGTCGATGAAGGCGGGTGATGATGACAAGTTAAGGCTGGAGGACTTTAAGTGGCGTCGATCGAAGGGTGGATGGCCTTCTAGTCGCTGGCGAGTGAAGCCTGAGAGAGAAGTAGGGTCGTCGGGGTTTAGCCCGCATACGTCTCGGTCCTAGTTCATCTGAAGCTCGTGCTGTACCGCTAGTTGATTGGCGGGGCGAAGAAGTGGTCTGACTTTGGCAGCTCCTCCTGTCTACTGTCTGCCTACGAAGGTCCGGAATCGCGATGGATGATCCCATGCTTGCTATGACTGCTCTCAGGGCCAATGCACTTGCTTCAGGGCGAGTAAATCAAGGCCAGCGGTCAAACGTAGGGCCAACACGCAGGGCTCCGATGATAGCCGAAGCATGAATCGATAAAGATGGAAGGGCATGATACAACGTTCAGCTGTCTTTGAAGTTGTGCTTGTATCTTGCTTGTTGATCTACTGGCCAAGAATAGTACAATGAACCTTTGTTACCGCAGAGGCCGTAGCCAGTCACCGAGTAATTAACAGGGAAGAGAAGGCCTGTACACCGATGATCAGCACAGACACACACACACACACACACACACACACACACCTGTCTCTTATACACATCTAGATGTGTATAAGAGACAGGTCGTATGGTGAGTCGGAATTCCAGGATCGCGTCATTGTGTCA